TTTTGTCATTGTAACCAAAAGTTACTACTCAAATTGGATACGGAGAGGAACCCATAATTTGATTACGATAAATCATTTTTATAAAAGTAAGATCCATCATGTTTACGAGTTTCATTTTCATTTTTATTTTTATCAAATTATTTTTTATCTACCAAAATAAGTAGTTAATTAGTAGATAGTAGTCTTTCTCCAATTAAAATTTTTTTTCTCGTTGACTTTTTACATATATTAAAAATATTATTAATTTTTGCGTAATATCTGCATTTTTTGTTCATACTTTTCAAAAACAGTTTTTTAATAATATATTTGGATAATTTTTTATAAAATGAAAATTGATTAAGAACTATTTAAAAAAACATACATCATTTAAAATTCCAGCCATTGCTGCGGTTCAACTCCTATAATATTCTTGCAGATTTTTAGACCAGGACATGAGATTATCAAATAAACAGAATTATTAAACTCGTAATACCTGTGTAAATAACACATTAGATTTTGCACAGTTTAGATGGATGCAGTTGCTTGAATGCTGATATTTTGAAAATCAAGTTAGAGGAAATTTGAAATTGTAAGTCATTTTGTATTCACACAATGATCTTCACCATTCTCTGTGAAATGTGGCTGTTGATCTTAAATAATTTAGGGTAGGATCCTCGTTATTTTTTCTTACAGCAGGGCGTTGTTTTTGCAGTCAGTCCTCTGAATAAGGGTAAGTAGGGGAAAAGGTGTCCTCTGAATAAAGGCAAGCTTGATAAACCTAAAATTGTTTCAAGGTTAGTATTCAGGAAATCAAAATTTCGGTGTTGTTTATTTATTTATTTATTCAAGGTTAGTTTCTGCTTCTTTACTTATTTTGCAAGTTCATTACCAAGATTTGGTATCCCTAGTTTATCTATTAGAAAAAGGTCCTCATAGGATCCGTTCATTGTCTTGTTTAATAATTTGTTTGAAGTTATTCGGTTGGTGGGATTCCTTGATGAACTAGTTAATTACAATTTAAATGGCTGCAATTCAAACAATTTTTAGAGTCCGACACAAAAAAAATAAAAATAAAAAATTTTCTATACCGGGAATTTTAGATATAGAAGCAGATAGGTCTGATTGGGGACAGACCAGCTCTCTGATCAATAAATCTGAAATATTTGTAAGAGGAATGGAGAAAGAGGAGCTAATCAATTCATTGCTCAATAATTCACATCCTCTCTTTGTTTATACTATATGTGGACTGAGAAAAACCACACTTGCTCAATTGGTCTACAATGAAGAAAGAGTAGCCGGAAATTTTGATTTGAGGATCTGGGTTATTAGATTGACCAAAGCCATCCTAGAGTTCATCGAAGGCAGCTCTTCTAACCCGATAGAGTTGCAACACTGTCTCCAAGAAAAGTCTAGTGGGAAGAAATTTTTGCTTACTTTTTGATGATCTATGAGATGGTTTCCACGACAAGTGGAGTATACATATTGAAGGATGCATTAAGGTACGGAGCTACAGGCAATGCATTAAGGTATCCTTTTCAGCACATGAAAGAACTGTCATCCGAAGATTCATGGTCTTTGTTTAAGGGGCATGCATGCATTTGGGAAGGAAAGGAGAGAGAAGCATGTAGACCTAGGAATCATCGGGAAAGCAATAGTCAACAAGTGTGGAGGGTTACCTTAAAAGCATCTGGGAAGTCTGATGCGAACAAAAAGAGAAATGAGGGAGTGGGTAACTGTTGAGGAAAGCAAGCTACGAAATTTACCAAACGAAGGATGTGAAATTCTGCCTGCTTTAAGGTTAAGTTATGAGAACCTATCATCACATTAGATTTAATGCTTTGTATTTTACTGTATATTAATTGGAAAAGATTTTGCCATAAAAGTGTACCACTTAGGCTCCATTTGTTTCACGAAAAAAAAAAAAAACTTTCATAAGAAAATTATTTTTTAAAGAAGTTATTTTTCAAAAAATTATTTCTAAAAAAATATTTTTTGTTATTTGGTAATTACATGAAAAAACTACTGAAAAATATATTTCAGCGTTTGTTTGATATAAAAAATTAAATTACAAAAACAGTATGTGATTGTTACATCAACAAATTTTGAGAAAATTTCAAAAATGAATATTTACAATTTCATAATATAACATACATTTAAAAAAATTTAAGTAATCCTAGCATTGTTATTTTGGTAACTTAATTAAGAATTCTTTTTTTTTTTTTTTGAAAATTGAACCGATAATTTAATCTAAAAAATAGTTTTATAGATTATTAGTTATTATTTGTAGATAATTATTCATTTGGTTCCAAAATATTGAAATAATTTGTAACTAATTATTCACTACAATTACCACCAAAATTTTACAATTGATTAAAATTACAAATTATTGATTTAGTTGCAAATGAATAGTGTTGAAAAAATAATATAATTATCAATGAATTAATTAATTTTAATTTTTTAACAAAAAATTACAGTCTTATAATAATCATTTCTAATAATTTAAGTATAGTTTATAAGGTGTTTGGGATAATAGTAAAAAAATAAATATAAATTATTGAAATATTTATTATAAAAATAATTTTAACGTGTAAAAATAGTTTTTAAGATATTTAATATATCTATAAATAAAAAAAATCAAATATTAATAGAAATAGAGAAAAAATAATTAAATATTTAATAATAATTGATAAGGAATAATTAAAAATTAATTTGATACATCTTAAATTAAAAAAATAAATAAAGTAAAAAATTGTTAAAATATATCGAGAGAGAGGGTAAGTAACGAGAGAGCGAGTCGGTTTATGAGAAAGAAAATGTTTTTCTTTTAACTAGAAAAACATTTTCTCAAAAATATTCTATCATTTTTTGTTGACTGAAAATCATTTTTTGTTGATTTTTTTTCCTAAACACAAAATAAACACTGAAAAATAAAAATAATAAATTCCTGAAATTTATTTTTCTCTAAACAAATACAACCTTAATATAGTTGTTGATGGAAAATGGGTTTATTCCATGCACAGGGCAAATAGTTTTGCATGAGATGGTCATGAAGTTTTCAATGAATTGGCTGGAAGGCATTTTTCCCAAGGTGTGGAGGAGGATGTCTGTGGAAACATAACTTGTAAAATGCACGATCTAGTCCATGGTTTGGCACAATCTATTGCTGGACATGAATGCTTTTTGATTGAGCCCAATACAGTATTCGAAGTCATCAATAATATACGCCAATCATTGCGTACATTCAGTCTGGGTAAAAAATTCAAGGAATTGGCAGTCTATTTATACTGGGTTAAACTTAAAGTTCTAGGATGTCCCTCAATTAATTTTTTCAATAATAACATCGCTTTGCTCTTAATTCAAGTCTGAATTTCATCATTTTGTTTAATTTTTCAGGCAATCGCAACAGTTTTTAGCTTACGACTGACGGGATACGCACATGTGGTATTAAATTTTTCAAAACAAATAAAAAATAAAAAATTCCAAAAAAAAAAATCCAAAAATTCTCATATTTTTTTCTTCCTTTATGTGTTAAAATAAATAATTAATTTCAATATATATATATATATTGGTTTCTCACAAATTCAAACCAAGCAATCCATCCATTTCTCTTAAGCTTTGTCTGTTTGAAGGAAAACAACTTCCAAATAAGCTATTTTTTAGAAAATTATTTTCTAAAAAATATTTTTTTGCCATTCGACAATTATATAGAAAAACTACTGAAAATTATATTCCAGCGTTTGTTTGATGTAGAAAATTAAAATATAAAAACAATATGTGATTGTTATATCAACAAATTTTGAGAAAATTTTAAAAAGGCATATTCATAATTTCACAATATAAGATACATTTAGAAAAATTTAATAAATTTTCATAAATACTGAATCTAAAATTTTAATTCAAAAAAATAAGATGTATTTTTTTACCATCAAACCAATTCATCAAAATTACTTGGGACAAAATCAAGTCAATATTCACATTTAGTAAAAAAAAATTTTCTCCTAAGTAATCCTACCATTGTTATTTTGGTAACTCAATTAAGTTTTTTTTTCTTTTAGAAATTGAACCAATAATTTAGTCTAAAAAACAAATTTATAAATTATCAGTTATCATTTTTAGATAATTATTCATTTGGTTTCAAAAGATTAATGTTGGAATAATTTGTAACAAATTATTCACTACAATTACCAACAAAATTTTACAACCGATTAAAATTATAAATTATTGATTTAGTTGTAGATGAATAGTGTTGAAAAAATAATATATTTATTAATGAATTAATTAATTTTAAATTTTTTTATAAAAAAATTTAGTCTTGTGATAATCATTTTTAATTATTTAAGTACAATGTAAGTGGTGTTTGAGATAATAATAAAATAATAATAATAATAAATTATTGAAATATTTATTATAAAAATAATTTTAAAGTGTAAAAATGGTTTTTAAAAATATTTAATGTTTCTATAAATAAAAAAATCAAATATTAGTAGAAATAGGAAAAATAATTAAATAATAAATAATAATTGATAAGGAATAATTAAAAATTAATTTGATATATTTTAAATAAAAAGAAGATTGAGAAAAAAATTATTAAAATATATTGAGAGAGAAATAGTAACGCGAGAGCGAAACGAGTTAGTGAGAAGAAAAATGTTTTTCTCTTTTTAAACTGAAAAAATATTTTCTTAACGATACTCTATCATTTTTCGTTGATTTTTTTTTTTAAAAAAAACAAATATTGAAAAATGAAAAAAAATTCTTGAAGCTGTTTTTCCTCAAACAAACACAGCCTTAAAAAGCTTATTCAAAAGCCTGTCAGCATCACGAGAGGGCCTCCAAAGAAAATTCAATATATTAAAGTTTTAATTCAAGTACGTACGCCTTCTTTTATTTAGTAGCCAGGTACATTGGTGGCCAGTTGATTTTATCAATAAATTAAAAAATAAGTTGATATTCTTATATTTTGAATTCTGTACTATTTCAGGTTTTCTGGTAGGATTCGCAGGAGATGGCGGCAGAACAAAATGTCATTAATGGTACATCATTTGATTGTTGACGAAAATCATTGAAGCCACATATTACTCGTTTTATTTCTCTAGTTACATATATCAGATCCACAGCAATGAATTTTAAATCAAGTACATTTCAAGCATGAAATACACATATTTTCGGCCTTTTCATTAAGTACTACTTCCTATTTCGAATTGTTTCGATTACTCCTATCATCGTTACACCAATCAAGTACCATCTCCAGTCGTTGTCAAAACAGGTACTTGATGACCTATCTTCTCTTAAAAGCTTAAATATTTTGAATTGTGATGGACTTGAAAGCTTGCCAGAAGAAGGTCTTCATAATCTTAATTCTTTGGAGACATTGGATGTATGGGATTGTAGAAGGTTAAATTCTTTGCCAACCAATGGATTTTTTTTGGTTTATCTTCTCTTTGTCACTTGTCAATTTGACATTGTGAGAATTTTTCATCTCTATCTAAGGGAGTGCGATATCTAATAGCACTAGAGGATTTGCATCTTCATCAATGTCTGCTAGAGAGTATCCAACACCTCACTTCTCTCCGATCTTTGAAAATTAGGGATTGCAAAGGATTATCTTCTCTGCCAAATCATATTGGATACCTCGTGTCCCTTCCACGCTTAGAGATTGGGCATTGCCCTCATTTGATGTGTTTGCCAGATGGGTACATAGTCTCTATATGCTTAAAGAGTTAAAAATTACAAGATGTCCAAATCTAAAGAGGAGGTGTGAGAAAGAAAGAGGAGAGGGCTAGCTTAAGATACCTCACATCCCTAGCATTCATGTCAATCGCTAAGCAATCCAAGAATCCTAAGATTGATTGGAGACTGTCCAAAGATTAGAATGATGGGGCTTTTTGGGAATCTAAAGAGGGATATCAATTCCATGGTAATTTTCTTCTTCTTAAATCATTATATGCTTTTTTGAATTCCCCTGATTTTCAAATTGTAAATATTTCTGAGACAGAGCTAGTGCCTTGTGACTCTTAAATTTTACGATGCCAAAAAGTTCATGTTTCTATTGTACTTGTAATTCTCTATTTAGTGGTTTGCTCACTCATCAATGTTTTGTAACTTGAATGTATCATTGAAGTATATTAAGCAATGGATGCAGAAACGAACACCTTCAATTGGTTCTAAGAATTTGCATGCAAATCCTTTTATTTTTGTTTTGGTGCAGGTTGAGAATACTCACTACTTCTGGTGCAAATTGCTCTCTTCAAAGATCTTCTACCCATCCATTCTCCTCAGTGCTCTTCTCAGGTAGCATGCTAATATTTCATATCTTCATATTGATGTTATTTTTTCCAAATATTCTCTTTGATTCCTTGTACCACTTTGTTGAGTCATTATAACTATTCTCAAAGATAATGAATGCAATATACATAGAGCATTTTTCTTCACCAGTAAATGAACAGCAAAGAATGTAACACACTATATATGATCTGATATCAACCAGTGTCAATTAGAAACAATTTATCTTTTCTTGAAATTTTATTGGAATTGATCCGGTTCACATGCTACCAGGTGGAAAATTATGGGAACGATGAGGCTACATAAGTATGCTGCTGCCAAGTCCATGATTTCAAAGCATGGTCTCATCATCATGATCAATGCTGAATTCAAGCAGTATGATTTCCTCCGACATGGTAGGAGTACCTAGCCATGTCAACTTGCACTCGTGTTGAATTGGTCCTGTCAAAAAAACAATGAAATCTCATGAGCTTTACATACATGATGAAGGTTGCTATAAGTGAGCATCATTCATTGTAATACTATGCTCTGGATTCTTCAAAGAATACGATGTGGAACTGCTTCTCATCATGCAGATGACAAGACCTCAGGGGCTTTTATGTAGAGTGATGGGAAATTCTTATTCTTCTATAGAAGCATAAACACCTAACTGTGTGTCTGTTGTTCTTGGCCGAGGTTGTTTCTATCGATTATTGCATTTAACCAAGACACAAGTCTTCTACAGGCTTTTTTCGCCTCCAAAAGAAAAAACATATTATTTGTTCCAAAAGGACATTGAATTTTGAACTTCTTGTTTGTTAAAAAAGAATCCTTTTTTTTTTTCTATTGACAATTGTTATTGTTTTCTAGCGTCCATAGTATTCTTGAAACTTATAAAACATGTACGTGTTCTCACTATCAGATTTTTACCATAATAGAAGCCACAGGCAACTGCCTTATATCTTATAAGTCAATACATATGTCAACTATTGATAGGATCTTAATTGATCAATTGGTTTCTTTTTTCCGTTCTTCTGTATTTGTGCACTAGTTCAATACTTGTTGCTCATATACCCTTAATTTGGTGTTGGCAACTCAGAAGTTTCTTTATCGAGTGTTGGGTCCATGCAGCATTGGAAACTAAAAACTTATGTCTCACCAAACGTGGTTTATATTCATGAATATGTATCGTTTGTATGTATATGCTACTGCAAGTTCACTGTGTTTGTTTTTCCAATTTTTCGCTATGATGTTTTAATTTGTCTTTGAAACTGTGGCTGTGAGCAAGAATTCTAGCAGGTTTGTGAGCACAGATTTATTTGTAACTATGCTGACATTGGCAGGAAAATTAAAAAGACTAGTGTTTCATGAGGATTCAGATGAATGTGAAAAGGGAAATATAGGAAAAGCTCAGAATTCATTGAAGCATGCAAATATGCCCCTACTTGTGGTCTAGGGAACTGAATGATGAGACCTCATCGGCTTTGCTTACGATGATAGTAAATCCTTATTCTTTTATATATGCACAAACATCTACCTGTATGTGTTCATTGTTTCTTGCTGAGGTTGTTTGTGCTGAAAATTTGAATTTAACCAAGTCAATAGTGTTTGCAAAGTATGATTGTCTTGCATGCATTTTAAAAAGAATTTTCCATAAACATGTTATTTGTTTCATAATGAAATTGAATTTTTAACTTCTTGTTCATTGAGAAAGGAATTCTATGTTGCTTTAATCTCTTCAGCTGAAATTGGTGAAACTATTTGTATCCTAGAAATTCTTCTCAATTATGGTTTAACATAACATCAATAATTTGTGTTGTCAGTGCAAGCAAATTTTGTACAGCAATGACTAATGGGATTTTTTAATTGATTGATGGTTTTCTTTCTTGCAATTCTGCTATGTGCACTCACTGATTCAATACATGTTGCTCAATTATCCTTGGTGTTGTTGTTGGCTTTAACTCATGTAAGTTTTTTTGTTCAAGTGATGGATTCAGATTACTAATGAAAGCAAATGATAAGGGAAGGCTTGGCTGCAATTGGGACCTGAAACCTAACCAGTTGCTGGACGTGGTTCATCTTTCAGATTCTGTATCATACTATAGCCATTGCTTTCATTTTCTCCTATGGCAAGTGATGATGAATTGGATCTTTAGCTAGAACGTCCACATCTGAAGAGGAGGTGTGAGAAAGAGACATGAGAGGACTGACCTAAGATAGCTCACATCCCTAGCATTCATATCAACCACTAAGCAGTCCAAGAATCCTTGTATTAATTGGAGACTGTCTAAAGACTAGAATGATGGAGCTTTTTGGGGTGTAAAGAGGGATATCAATTCCCTGGTAATTTTCTTCTTCTGAAATTATTACATGCTTTTTGGAATTCCCTTAATTTTCAAATTGCAAAAATTTATGAGACAAAGCTAGTCCATGAGTGACTCCTAAGTTTTGCTATGCCAAAAAGTTAATGTTTCTATTATACTTGCAATTCTCTGTTCAGTGATTTGCGCACTCATTGATGATTTGTAACTCGAATGTGTCATTGAAGTTGATTGAACAATAGATGCTGAAACAAGCATCTTCAATTGGTTCTGAGAATTTGCACGCTAATCCTTTAATTTTTGTATTGGTGTAGATTGATGACACTACCTACTTTTGGTGTAAATTCCTCTCCTCAAAGATCTTCCACCCATCCATTCTTATTAGTGTTATTCTCTGGTAGCATTCTAGTATTTCATAGATCTATATTGTTATTATTATTTTTTTTAAAATATTTTTTCTGATTCCTCATGCCACCTTGTTGAGTCATTATATATACATTCTCAAAGATGGTGAATGCAGTATTCATAGAGCACCTTTTTTTACCAGCAAATGAGCATCCGAGAATGTAACACTATATATGGATCTAATATCATCCACAGTATAAATTAGAAGCAGGTTGTTGTTTGATTTTCCAAAAAAAGACATGGAATTTTGAACTTTTTGTTTATTGAAAAAGGAATCTTTCTTCATTTTGACAGTGGTTATTATTTTCTTCTGTCCATTATATTCTACAAACTTCTGTGAATATACAAGAGTTTTCACTATCAAGTTTTTACCAAAACAAAAGCCAGAAGTAATTACATAAGTGTACTACTTTAATACAGATCTCAAGTACTGACAGGATCTTTCAATTGATCGATAGTTTTTTTTTTCTTTTTTTTTCTTTTTTTTTCCAATTCTGTTGCATTTATGCTCTAATTTATACATGTCGCTTATGTACCCTTATTTTGGTGTTGGCAGCTCAGAAGTAGATTTTTTTTTAAAGAGAAAATTGATCACTGAAAAAAAAAATCATTCTATTGGAACAATGAAGTTTTATTTTTTGGTTTTTGATCTTCTGGTTTATTTGAGATATTATTCACGTGCAACAATGCTGAAGGAACTGGCTAAGCTGCAAATGAGGTGCCTTTATGTCTCAGAATTTTCATCGTCACTGGCAGAAAAGTCCAACTGTGCTGACATTGGCAAGAAATAAAGAGATTAGTGCTTCATGAGAATCAGACGGATATAAAAAGGAAAATGTACACAAAGCTTATAATTCATCGAATCATGGCCCTGCTTCTGGTCAGGGAAACGAAATGATGAGACCTCATGAGCTGTGCCTATGATGACAGTAAATACTTGTTCTTTTATATTTGCACAAATGCCTACCTGTGTGTGGTCGTTTTTCCTGGTTGAGGTTGTTTCTGTTGAATATAGAATTTAACCAAGTCAATAGTCATTGCAGAGTATGATACGCTTGTGTCCATCTAAAATGGCATTTTCCAAAAACATGTTATTTGATTCAGAATGTTGTTGAATTTTGAACTTCTCCTCTATTGAGATAGGAATCCTATGTTGCTTGAATCTCTTCAGCTAAAATTGGTGAAACCGTTTTTATCCCAGAAATTCTTCTCAATTGTGGTTGAATATAACATCAATAATTTGTGTGGTTGGTGCAAGCAAATTTTGTGCAGCAATTATTAATGGGATCTTCACTTGATTGATCGTTTTCTTTCTTGCATTTCTATTGTTCACACACCAAATCAGTACATGTTACTCAATTATCATTGGTTTTGTTGTTGGTTTTAACTCATACAAGTTTTTCTGTTCAAGTGTTGATTTCAGGGTACTAATGAAAGCGATCAATAAGTGAAGGTTTGGCTGCAATTGGGACTTGAAACCCAAGCAATCATTGGACGTGATTCATCTTGCCGATGACCATACCATAGCCATTGCTTTCGTTTTCTTCAATGACAAGTGATGATGAGTTGGATCATTAGCTAGAATGTCTATCTATGACTTGAGAGAAAAGAGTTCCAGCACAGCAGGAATTTGCACTGTAACCTAACAACTGTAAATAAGTGAAAAAAAAGTTGAAAGGAAAATTTAGTCAATTTCAGCAGTTAAAATTATATTGTTTGTCATTTTTTGATTTTAGATATTTTTCACCAGCAATGCCGCGGACAGAACTGGCTAAGCTGGAAAGGGGTCTTTTCTGAGATTTTTCTCTCAGGTGCCAGAGAATTTCTAGTCTGCTATCAACGACAAGAAATTTAAAAAAGATTACTGCTTAATGGTGATTTAGAGAGCATGGATAAAGTCGTCGATTAATGCCAATATCCTGCAGAATGCTAAGGCCAACCAAAGTACTATGATTTGTAGGAACTGGTGCTTTGACTAAGCTTTTTTGTGTCTATCTATTTCTAGTTATTGCTTTTGCATTGTGATTGTAATGCTTTGAAGTGGAGTTGATCTCTCACTGGGTTCGATCGAGTGAAAAAATTATCATTTATCACAAAAAGAAATTGACAGTTAATATATATATATATATATATATATATATATGAACAGCATGAGATGGTTCTCTTTTTAAATTAGTTTTTGTGTTTGAGAAGATAAAATGCGTCTATAGACTACAGCCATGCTAGAAACAATGAATGTTTTTGGCCTATAGCTAGGTCTGATGACTTGGTGAATGTTCAAGGTATTATTTATGGAATTCTCTTTCCTAATTCCATGGTTGAAAAAAAATTGATATGGGGCCTTCGCATATTACTCTGTACAGTTTTATTTCTTGGCAGACCGTGCCTGGCAGATTAACTAAGAAAGAGAGGGTACTTGAAACACTGTAGAGCGAATCACTTTTTTTTTTTTTTTTTTTTGCTCCAAGGTAGTGTGGCTTGCTATCTTGCAGAAGTACTGTGGATTATACAGAAGAATTGGATATTGGAATGGGAAGTTTGCCAGACTAAAAATAACCTGTCGAAAAGGTGTTTCCTTTCTGTTCTTTTAAGAGTTGGCTGGAATGCCAATGCTTATGGCATTTAGAAGGAGCATAGCAACAGAATTCCTGACAATGGTAGCACCTCTAGATTTGTGAGTTGAATGGATAGCTCAAATTGTTAAAAGCAAAATTTCTGGAAAAATAGATTTCCCAGAATGCTGCTGCAAATCCTAGGCTTTCAATTCATCTGCAGTAATGACAATGGTACATTCTTCTTATGACATCATTCCATGCTTCAACTTTAAATTGTTTTCTTTTCCTTGCCTTCTCAATAGAAAGAACGAGATAGATTGAGCCTTGAGACAACTACTAAATTTTGCTATCGACAGTCCATGTTTCTAGTGTACTTGCAAT